TTCTCTATGTACTGCTTTTAATACAGTTAAAGCTTCTCTAAGGTTATAAAGCTGATCAACTCAAAAAAAATCAGGAGATTATCAATGTTATAGTCATAATATCAGAAATGCAGTTACGAAAAAAGGAATAATCTAGGATTGGATATGGAAGAATGGTTTAATGATGCACTGAACACATTTTACTTGACAGAATGATCACGCCTTCTTTGGATCCATGAAAGCAGAAAAATAATTAATAGAACTAGAAGCTATATGGAGATAGGAGCTACTTCACAATGCCAAGATCTATCAATTTATTTAAAATATTTTTTCTGGAAATAATTGTTGAGTATAGCATATGTTTATATTTTTGTATCTTGATAGTAAGTGATATATGACATTACTGTTACCTGCCAATTATCTAATGTGCTAAATGGAGGATGTGGCTAGAGGACTCTAATATGGAAAAAAAACTATTATTAGAAATTTTACTTTTGTCAATCACTAAATCTTTTAAACATTTAAAGCCAGTTCTCTATGTATTCATTAATGTATGTACAGTTGGCCCTCTGTTTTCACGAGGATCTGTTCCAGACACACACACCCAGCAAAAACTGAGATTAGTTTTAAATGGAGGTTGGCCCTCCTTGAATATATAAAACTACAGACATGAAGTCTGCAAGAATGGAGGAGCAACTGTATTTACTGTGGCTCTTCATCTCCTAACAATTTTGTTATTTGCTGTTGGTATACGCCTTCAAGTCAATTCCAGCTTATGGCAACATTATCATATGGCTTTCATCCCAAGATTTATTCTGTTCTGAGAAGGTTTGCCCTTGCCTTTCTGTGAGAATGAGAAAGCCCATCCAGTGGGTTCCCATGGCTGAGAGAGGATTCAAACCCAGGTGCCCCAAAGTCCAATCCAACACTCAAACCACTACACCATGCTGGCTCTCAAAAGGTCTCTCAACAATATATTGAAATAGAATTAACTAGAATTAAATCAGGGCAGGTCTAAAGCACTAAAAATCATATTGAAAGAGAGTGGCTTTACCAATAGATGGGGGTTTCCAATTGGCAAAAAGGTCAGGCAAAGCTGCATCCTATCACCCTACCGGTTCAACCTGCATGTAGAAAATATATGAAGAGCAGGTATGAACTCAGGAGAAGGAGAACTTAAGATAGGAGTAAATAACATCAACAATCTAAGGTATGCAGATGACACCATAATACTAGTGGAAAGCATCATAGACTTGGACCAATTACTAAGGAAGGTCAAGGAAGAAAGTACAAAGGCAGGATTACTGCTGAACATGAAGAAAACAAAAATAATGACCATAGAGGATCTATATAAGTTCAACCTAAATAATGAGGTAATGTAAATGGTCAAAGACTTTCCATACCTTGGGTCAAACTTTGATCAAATGGAGACTGCAGTCAAGAAATAAGAAGACTAGGAATGGGAAGGGCAACCATGAAAGAACCAGACAAGAGATATAAAACTGATCACTAAAGTTAGAATCATCCAAGTCATTGTATTCCCCATCACCATGTATGGA